AGAACTACAAAAAAAAAATATGAAAAAAAAAAAACATTCATACCTTAACTTCATCTTGAGTAACGACGCCCTCTTCCACAAGCTTTTTGGAATACAATTCCAGGGCTGGTGGAGTCTCCTTGATTTTGCGGTACATAAGAGGTTGCGTAAACATTGGCTCGTCAATTTCGTTGTGACCGTTTCTTCTGTACGACACAAGGTCGATAACAACGTCTTTGTGGAAAGTGGCACGCCATTCAGCGGCGACCTTGCAAACGTGCATCACAGCTTCTGGGTCGTCTGCGTTAACGTGGAAGATGGGAGCGTTGACAACTCGAGCAACGTCTACAGTAGGGTAATAAAATTAATAATTTGATTTATGTCAAATCACTTTGCACAACTGAAATAAATGATTACAAGGATAATTTACCAGTGCAGTACGGCGATGATCTGGAATGCCTGGGATCTGTCGTAAAACCGATCTGATTGTTAACGACGATGTGGATGGTGCCGTGAGTCGTATAGTCCGGCAAGTCAGACAAGTGCATGGTCTCGAAAACGACGCCTTGGCCACAGAAAGCGGCATCACCGTGCAGAAGCATAGACATGACCTAAAAATTTTGCAATAATGAAATCACCTGATTTGATTTGATGTTCAATTTGATGCATTTTCATTACTTTTTTGCCTTCCCCGTCTCCGCGATAGAATTGCTCTGCACGGGTTTTGCCTTGCACAACGGGATCTGCAGCTTCCAAGTGCGACGGATTCGCTACGACCGCCAAACGTATGTTTTTGTTCGTTACGCGGTTCAAACGCTCGATGTATGTACCAAGATGGTACTTGACGTCACCGGATCCCTGTCAAAAGAAAACAGAAAATTACAATCTTCTGAAATCACCATAAGTTACAAGGAACAAACGAAGGGTCTCACATCATCTGCGGCCTCGAGAGCGGCGAATTGAGTGAATATCTGATTCAATGGTTTACGACAGACGTTGGCCAAAACGTTAAGACGTCCTCTGTGCGGCATTCCCATGACGATGGATTCAACGCCCAACTCGGTCGATTTGTCAATAATCTGCTTCATCGCGGGAATGAGAATTTCGCCTCCCTCCAGACCGAATCTCTTTTCAGACGACCACTTGCGCGCCAGGAACGCCTCGAACATGGTGGCGCGCGACAGTCGGGCCAGGATCAATCGCTTCTCATCGTTGGTTACTTCCATTATTCCTGGCGTCTCCATCTTTTGGCGTATCCAGTTGCACTGCTCCAGCGAATTGATGAACATGAATTCGACGCCAATGTGACGACAGTAGGTGTTCTCCAGTCTCGACAGGATTTCCCGCAGTGGCAGGGACTTTTCCTGGCCGCCGATAAAGGTTGTCGATGGCAATTTGAACACGCGATCCATGTCCGTTTCCTCTGTTTTGATTTAACGCGAAAAACAATCGTTTTACTCGTTGCTTTCGAAGCAAAATTCAACGAAAATTCGTCATCGTTGTATTCGTGTCTATTATATACTTAGTATATCTTTTTTTCTTTTTTTTTTTACTGATACTGAAAATGATCTGTCAATGAAAGTCATTTGTGAAATGATTTTTAATGATGCAGGATTAATTTGTTACTAAATTAATGATTTAAATTTATTTTAAGTTTTAGTGATTTTTTTTTTTCAGATTTTTCATACACTAATTTGTTAATGAAAAGTCTGTACATAGATATTTAGAATTTAATTTAAATAAAGGTACAAAGAAGCATGGCATACAAAACTAAAAATAGCACGTAAATCGCTTGCATAAATAAAACCATACTAATGCGTGTCATAACAACACCTTCCAAATCAATTTTTTTTT